CGTTAAAAATGACCCTATCCCATATTGAAAATGATTTCACCAAAGCAGACATTCATTCATGGCCAATATAGACCAATAGAGTCGAATGGTAAATAGTCTAACTCCATTCGTCTCTATTGGTGGTCAATACTAGATTCATTCTGACTTCAAGAAGTCATTTGGAGTCAAAATCTGTTCAAATGGGATCCCTGTCTTAATGACGATTCGAACCATTGGTATAAGATAAACTCCACTCGTATATGAGGAATTCAATTGGTTGACGTCACAACAAACCATCCATCAAATAATCCATACATGCTTCGTTCATAAAGCCATCTGGTATCCCTGTCTTAATGACGATATCTCCTCACCCCTACCACAACATCCCGAGGTCACGAATAGATACCAATCGAACCATTGGTATAAGGTAAACTCCACTCGTATATGAGGAATTCAATTGGTTGACGTCACAACAAAACCATCCATCAAATATCCCATACATGCTTCGTTCATAAAGCCATCTGGGATCCCTGTCTTAATGACGATATCTCCTCACCCCTACCACAACGTCACGAATAGATACCAATCGATCCATTGGTATAAGATAAACTCCACTCGTATATGAGGAATTCAATTGGTTGACGTCACAACAAACCATCCATCAAATAATCCATACATGCTTCGTTCATAAAGCCATCTGGTATCCTTGTCTTAATGACGAGATCTCCTCACCCTTACCACAACATCCCGAGGTCACGAATATATACCAATCGATCCATTGGTATAACATAAAGTCCACTCGTATATGAGGAATTCAATTGGTTGACGTCACATCCATCAAATAATCCATACATGCCTCCTTCATAAAGTCATCGGTCGAGGATATTAGCCATGCTTCGTTCATAAAGCCACATAATCCATAAATGCTTCGCTACAATAATTTTTGACAAATCTTTAAAAGCGTAGAATCAAATTGTTTACTCTGATAGTCTTTCGTGTGAAACATAGTAAGAATATTGTAGTAATTTAAAGGTCAAGTATACTACAGTATCAAAATCAGAGCGCCGTGTGGCGAGCGATCTTCAAGCCGAGTTCGCAATGTGATATATTTTCATGTCGATCCGATTTCAAATCAATACCTTTTCTTACAAGCTATAAGGTGATTAAGTAGAAACAGATAACTTTCAACTCTGCTTGCACATTTCATAAAATAAACTCTATTTTATATGAATGACATTGAGTTCATAATTCACCTCTTGAATTCCGTATATACAGCCGGAATAATGCTCTCACCATTTGCATCAATAGTATCATGCGTGAAAATCTAGACGACGAGAGGCGACTGCTACAAATGAGTGCACGTTTCCACAGGCAACACACATCCCACCAACAACATTAATAACATTTCTCACACTGATACTAACGGCCAAATCTCAAAAAATCTCTCTCATTCATAACCATGACGCCAAGTTAATGATTCACCAATTGAATTCCATCGATACGACCCGTATCTSCCTATCTCCGTTCGTACCAATGGTACAAATGGTGATAATTTGGAGCCCGGCTGACATGACCCTACTAGAAATTAATGCATAGCTGCACAGGGATACCGGTTCTCACAGAAACGTTCATTGCGTGACTCAAACATATCCCACGAACTGTATCCCACCAGTAAAGGATCACACATGCTCTATATTTCACAGCAACGAGGCTAAGTTAATCATTCACCAATTGAATTCCTTCGATTCGACCGGTATAAGCCCATTACCAATGGTTCGATCGGGACGAATGGTGAGAATTTTGAGGCCTAACAGAGATGATGGCACACATGCACAGGGATACCGGTTCTCACCCAAACATGCATTGCCCAATGGTTCGATCGGGACGAATGGTAAGAGTCTTGAGGCCTCATAGAGATGAATGCGCAGGGATACCGTTTGTCACAGAAACATGCATTACGTTATAACAATATATCCCACAAGTAAAAGATCGCAAAAATTCTCTATGTCATAGCAACGAGAGCAAGTTAATCATTCACCAATTTAATTCTTTCGAGACGACCGGTAATAGGCTATTACCAATGGTTCGATCAGGACAAATGGTAACACTTTTGAGCTTTAATGAGATGATGGCACAAATGCACAGGAATACCATGTCCAACCAAAACCCATATCACTTCTCTCCATCATCTACACAAAACCATTTCCAGATTGAACGAAAGTATTAGGCCTTCAATCCATGACGAACAGTCCCGATGGAACGATTGGTAAATTTGTTCCCATATTTCTTTGCTGTTTCATTGCTATGGCGATTAAAAGTTGAATCTGAAAGTCGTTTGTGTGACAGCCTTATCTCTTTCGAATAATAAGCACTTTGAAATCTCAAGAACAACATCCACAAGATCTATGTTTCATAGCAACGAGAATAAGTTAATGATTCACCAATTGAATTTCTTCGAGACGACCGGTATAAGCCTATTACCAATGGTTCGATCGGGACGAATGGTAAGAGTCTTGAGGCCTCATAGAGACGAATGCACAGCTGCACAGGGATACCATATCTAACCAAAACCGATACAACATCTTTCCACCCTCTACAAGTCGTACAAGACAAACGCATATCTTATTACTCTACTTCAAATCAACAGTTCTAAATATCTCACTCAACTAAAGTCAAATCTACTCGCAAAGTCACANGAACTTGCTGATCTTGCAAGGAGTGCCACTTTCTGCCTTCCTTTCGACGATCGCCTTGTGCTTTCGAGGTGAGAAGGAAATTGCTTTGATTACTGCATTTCTTTGCTGAAGTTGAAAGGAGAAATACTCCGATCCTTTTCTAGACACTTTTGTAGGGCTGACATTTTGGATAAATCCTAAAAGTGACTGGTTCGGTGAGTTGGTTGATGATGGCGACATTGGCGGGACTGTAGATGTTGGTGGAGGTGAACTTGTAGTCGGTTCTTCAATTATTTGAGACGTGGCTGCAATAAAGAAATCCAACTTATATAAACTGAAATGTTTAGTATTGAACTTACTACATTAAAGTATTATATGTTCTTTACCTTTGGTCGCTTTTTTAGCGCTTTTGGGTGGCATACTTCTGAAGACGTCACACACTGTAGTAGAGCAGGGCATACACCTATAGTCATTGTGGTGATTCTTGTCCTTTTATACTGTTCCAAAGCATCGAAATTCGTATGATATGGTGTGTTGTTGAACATTCTTTGTTCATTGTTCAATATGTAGGCAGCTCAAGTACTGCTTAAAACATATGGTCGAAGAGGAAACGCAAATAGAATCAACGCTAAAAAGAAATGATGAAAAACAGAACTGCGCCTCTTAAATGAACAGATGAGCAGTTTTAAAAATAAGGTTGTCTTCTTGTCACTGTGCTATCTTTGCAGTCTAAAAATTATCTTTTCAATTTTGACATGCATGTGTTTCATCCATGTGTCGCCATCGTGACTTTCTCGTGATATCTATGCTTTCATAGTGTCCAACTGTTCAGCTCGTGAAAAAATTAAGATGAAATGAAGATATAAAATAATTGCTTACTTACATTGACTAAATTCGGTCTACAACTATTTCAAACAAACACAACTTGTCGTAAAGAAATTACGCTCTTTATGGAGAAATCCGACATTGTCACATTAGGGGCGTGAATAAACGCTCTTTATGGAGAAATCCGACGGCACATATATTAATTAGGGGCCATAACAAGGTAAAATCTTAGAAAAAATCCACAATACGCACATAAAACATAACAAATATACATATGTAAGTTCAACAAATGTTATTCAAAATATTTTCAAGTTTTGACATAAAGATACGTTCAGTAGAGTTTGGGTTACCTGTGGTATCACACAGCTATACCGATACAACATATTTGACGCTTAGCACACTTTGGCGCGCAGTCATGAATAGATATAAAAATTTCTCGGACAGAGTGAATGTATTGGCGTATTTTCTGAACGTGGTAATGCTTTTTGATATCCAATTCTTAACTTATTTGAACTCATGGCTTGTTATTTGTTTGTTATTGAACATTCTTTGGTGATTGTTCAATCATATAGTAGGCCGGTAAACTGCTTAAAACACAGTGTACGACGAGGAAACGCAAATAGAATCAACGCTAAAAAGAAATGATGAAAGACAGAACTGCGCCTCTTAAATGAACAGATGAGCAGTTTTAAAAATAAGGTTGTCTTCTTGTCACTGTGCTATCTTTGCAGTCTAAAAATTATCATTTCAATTTTGACATGCATGTGTTTCATCCATGTGTCGCCTTCGTGACTTTCTCGTGATATCTATGCTTTCATAGTGTC